GTGATGGAGGGCTCCCAAGCACTCACAAGCATGGACACTAAGTCCCTTGAGGTGCTCAAGACCAGCCATGGCCGAGGGCCACTTCTATTTATAGCCCCAAGGCTAAACTAGCCGTTACCCCTTCATCGGGCAACGGTCGGGCCGACCGGACGCTCGGTCCGATCGACCGGACGCTGGACCTCGGGCCGTCGGTCACGCGATACTCGCCACGTGTCCCCTGCGTTCAACGGTCATCTTCCGATCCTAACGGTCATCGCCGACCGGACGCGAAGATTTTCAACCGACCGACGCGAAAAACCCCGGCGTCCGGTCGTTTCAAGAAGCTCGAAAGCATGACCGGACGCGTCCGTTCGGCCGATCGACGACGGACGCGGCCGTCCGTCACTCTCCCGCGCTATCAGACGTCAACGCGATCGACAGAGCTGACGCCAGTCCGTCCGGTGGATCCGATTCGGTCGGCTTGACCGACGCCAAGATCTTCGCGACCAACTCGTTCTCACTTCTAACTTCTTCACCCTTGCTCCAATGTGCTAACCACTAAGAATTTGCATCCGGCGCAATAGAAAATAGGCATTCTATTTTCCCGAAAGCGCCGAATCCCGCCGAACTTGCGAGAGGGGGGGAGAGAGGACCCAAACCCATCTCACCCCTCGCAAACACCACCTCCTTTGTAAATGTGCCAACACCACCAAGTGTACACCACCATGTGTATGTGTGTTAGCATTTTCACAATCATTTCCCAAAGGATGTTAGCCACTCAACTTGCCACGCCACTCGATCGTAGCGACAATGCAAAGTTAGATCACACGAGTGGCACTAGATGACCGATATGCAAACAAGTTTGCCCCTCTTGATAGTACGGCCATCTATCCTAAACCCGGTCATATACTTCTCTACACACCTATGACGGTGAAATGAAATGCCCTAGGTTATACCTTTGCCTTGCGCATTCCATTCCATCTCCTCCAATGTTGATGCAACACATGCACCAACACGATCAACAATGATATGATCCACTTCATATCATCACGTGATCATATTGGTTCATCGATCTTGACTTCACTTGCCCTTCACCGTTGCCATCGTCCATCGGCGCCAAGTCTTGCTCAAGCTTCACCGCCACGCGGTCCATCACTCCAAAGCCTTCGACTTGCCCTTCATGCTTGCAACCGGTCCATCAAGCCAAGTCTTGTCTTGATCTTCTCCACCTTGATCACATGACTCAATGTCATGTCTCATGTGCAATAAGCTCCTTCATCATCACATGTGTGAGCTTTGCAACATCTCCAAGCCATTTTCACCTCCATGGCATATGTTGCTCATACACATGTACCTGTGGACTAATCACCTGTGTATCTCACATAAACACAATTAGTCCACCTAGGTTGTCACTCAATTACCAAAACCAACAAGGACCTTTCACTTGGTTTTCTTTGCCTTTTTTGTACACTATCCTGAAATTGAGGCCCATCATTCTTGTCATTGCCTTCCGCTGCATGTCAGAATGGAGGTTCTGGTCTTTGAGATAGGCTAAGGACTTGTGATCAGTTTGGATTATGAACTCGCCTCTCTCTAGGTAGTGTCTCCACTTGTGTACAACCATGATAAGGGCTAGAAACTCCTTTTCATATATAGAAAGGGCTTTGTGTTTTCCCCCAGAGCTTTGCTCAGGTAGGCAACTAGTTGGCCCTTTTGCATAAGGACAGCCCCTATACCATCCATACATGCATTTGTTTCCACTGTAAAGGTTTCTTGGAAATTGGGTATAGCTAGTACTGGTGTTTCAGTCATGGCTTGTTTGAGAGCATGGAATGCGGACTAGGCTGCTGGATTCCAGGCAAATGACTTGAGTTTTAGGATTTGAGTCAGTGGTTTAGCTAGTGTACCATAACCTTTGACAAATCGTCTATAGTATCCTGTCAGACCCAGAAAGCCTCTCAATTCAGTCATTGTAGTTGGTGTTGGCCACTTGAGCATATCAGAGATTTTGCTAGGATTAGTGGACACTCCTGTAGCAGAAATGATGTGGCCTAGGTATTCCAAGCTGTCCTGAGCAAAGGTACATTTGGACTGTTTGAGGTGTAGGTGATGCTTCCTTAGTGTTTGCAACACTTGCTCCAAGTGGTGAAGATGCAGCTCCATTGACGGGCTATATATCAAGATGTCATCTAGGAAGACCAAGACAAATTTTCTGAGAAAAGGTTTCAATACTTCATTCATGACACATTGGAAGGCGGCTGGAGCATTGGTTAAGCCAAAGGGCATGGCCCTGAACTAGTAGTGCCCTTGATGGGTTTTGAATGCTGTTTTGTACTCATCTTCGGGTAGCATTCGAATTTGGTGATAGCCCGCCTTCATATCTAACTTGGTGAACACCCTGGCTCCTGAAAGTTCATCTAAGATCTCTTCAATCACTGGCATAGGGAATCTATTTTTGATAGTCATGTCATTGAGCTTCCTGTAGTCAACACAAAATCGCCAAGTTCCATCCTTTTTTTTACAAGGAGGACTGGGGAAGCAAATGGGCTATGGCTATGTGTAATAAGGCCTGCCTAGAGGAGCTCTTGTACTTGTTGTTCTATTTCTGTCTTGTGGGCAGGGGAGTAGTGATAGGGTCTGGCATTGATTGGTATGGAATCTGGTGTTAAAGGAATTGCATGGTCATAGGTTCTTTGTGGTGGGAGAAGTTTGGGGTCTATAAACACATCTTTGTATAGTGCCACAAGATGTTGTATGGCTTCATCAGGTTGAGAAGGTTTGGGGTACTGTGAGTGGGGTGGATGGGGTAATTGTTCTAGCAAAACATAGGCCCAGAGGTCATTCCCTTTGGTGGCCTTATACCTTGTGTGCAGAGATATTAGCAATTTGGAGAGGTGGGGCACTGATCCCTTGAAGCTGAATGAGTTTGCCTTGCTCCTGAAACTGTAATGTTTTGTGTTCCCAGTCACATGTCATAGGGCTGTGAGCTTGAAGCCAATCAAAACCCAAGATGGCATCATATGGCTGCATGTCCAGGACAATCATATCTATTGTGAAAGTCTGTCCTTGGCAATAGCATTGAAGTTGGGATACCATACTGTTGGTAGTAATCCATTCCCCATTAGCCAGTTTCACCTTTCTTGGTGAGATTGGAATGGTTGGTATATTAGCCATTGTAACAAACTGAGAGCTGATGAAGCTATGAGTGCTCCCACTGTCCACCAAAATGAGCATAACCTTGTCTTTGACCCTGGTTTTGAGTTTGATACAATCTGGCTTGTCTTGGCTGGACAAAGCATTGAGGGATAATTGGCAGAATTCTTCATATAGAGCATCTTCCACAGTCAGTTCACTGAGAACCTCATCACTGAGTTCTCTGTCCAAGTTGTTTAATGCTAAAGCATTGACTTTTGGTTTGTTTCGACTTTTTGCACCTCTAGATGTCCAGGAACAAATTTCTCCCCACAATTGTAGCATAAGTTATTAGCTTTTTCAGTAGTCCCTTAGTTGCCTGCCCCGCCATGCATTGGAGGATGTAAGGCGGACTTGGGATCTGTCTTGTTCGGTAGGGTCTTGGTGGATATGGTTGTCTTGGGTACCGGACTTCCCCCGCCCACTGTTCTTTGTTGTATCTTGGCTAGAATTGAAGCTGCAAGACATCCGGAGGTCTATGAGCCTCCACCATGCCTCTCGATATCCTCTTTGAGACCCATAACATACTTCTTTGTGAGAAGAACATGTCATCATACCTGCATTGTGCATTGTGACACTATCTTTGGAGTGCTTGGAATTGTTCTCAGATACTCATCAATAGATCCAACTCGCTTGAGTGCCAACAGGTCATGCATAGATGATCTCAAATCATCAGACCCAAATTCTTGCTCTATAACTCCACAGAAGTGTGTCCAACTCCTGAATGTGTTCTTCTGCTTGAATGCTTGATACCACTTGCCTGCCTTCCCTTTTAGATGCATTCTGGCCACAGTGACCCACATGCCTTCAGGGTTTGACAGTGTGCTACAGGTGCTGCTCCGGCCGATGCGACTCGTAGCTGCGTAGGATCCACCGTTGCCACGCGACGGTGCGACAGGTCCGGCAGGTACACTCGATAGGGTGCGCGGCGGTGGATCCACCGTTGCCATCTCTCTCGACAGGGTGCGCGGCGGTGGATGAGGGCTCTCATCCGGTGGCGGTGGGGATGGTTGGAGACTGATTTTTGCAGTTTTGACCCTCAAAAGAATGGTAGGAGTCCGGATGAGAGAGGTCCACTGGAGTTGACATTTTTACCCCTATATAAGGATTAAGGACACGCTCTGGTTTGAGCTTTTTTTTTTAACCATGGAAGTGATCTCCATTACTCAGAAACTGATGACAAATCATTGGCTACAAGGACGCTAATACAAGCTGGTTTGAGCTTTGTGTTGTGTGCACATTGGCAAACACATGATGTAAATAACAAGGATGAAAAAGGAAAAGTTTTAATCTCTCTTGCTACATAAAAAAAGATAGTGGGCGAATCCGCGAATACCTCAGTGCAATTCAATTATTCCACGATCAACTCAAATAGACAATGCAGCTTATTTATAATCAAATATGGCATTTCCGTGCTGTTTGGTTGGTTCCACAGCAACGCAAATGTAAATGAAATCAGTTCAATCGTATCTCCCACCCTCCCACCGGTAACATCTGCAGCTTTAAATCATTTACGTTTGCGTTACCAACGGTAGAACCAAACAGCTCGCGTCTCAGTTGTCTTACATCAACAACCAAGAGGGGGAAAGGCATTGTTATTTCATGAGATAATGCTGCTGTTTCTTGTAAATAAAAAAAACATTTAGTTATGTTGTATTCCCCGTTTTGACCAAAAGTCCAAAACAGACTGCCCGGGAACTTTACTTGACCCAAGCGTCATCTGATGGCATAGAGAAAAGCCCTGACTCTTAACAACCAATTCTTCATAAGTTCCTTGTCGAAGTTTCATGGGCATTTCCTTCCAAAAAAAATTGTGTATCTTGAGAATATCATGTCATCATGTCAGCTGGTAGGGATGTACTAAATACTCTGTCCTTTGCCTTCAAAGCCTGAAGCAAAAGAACAGAGAGCCTGCCACATTAACAAAATGGAAAAGCCAGCGAAACAATATATTTGCACGCAATAAGTTTAGGTTGATTTGCTTACTTCTTTCTCCCAGTTGCTGCACAAAGTAATTGTGAGGAGCAATAACATCTGTATGACGAGTGCGCAGATTATTCCCAGCCAAAGTCCCTAGACATTTAAACCCATAGTTTAGAGAATTCTTTTTTTCTACCTGATAGAGTAATAAATGTTCAACTAGAACTTCTTAAGGGTGGTTCTGGTAGTAAATTACCATTCCGCCTAGATGGTACAGAAAGGCGAAACAGAAGGCAGCTGGAATTCCTATAAGGTAGTATGCACCAAGATTTACACAAGCACCAATCTTTTGCCACCCACAGCCCCTAGCAACACCTGGGAAAATATCAACAATCCCCTGTTGTGAGTCATGATCTAGGTGATAATGTTCCAAAAGAAATAAATGCAGTTCATAATATACACAGAGATAAAAACAGATCAACGCAAAAGATTAGGAAATGGGTTCGATGTCCATTTACCTGAAAGAACACACTGCACACAATCAAACAAGAATGACACAGCTAGTATTGGCATCATTTTGGAGATGTATTTCACCACCTCCTCCTCATTACTGTATGCATATCCCCATAAATTGCGCACCAAAATCATAGCTAGTCCAATTAATATGCCAACCACGATAGCCAGCACCATGACCACACGGGTAGCCAGATGGGCAGCATGGGGTCGTCCAGCACCAAGTTCATTTGAAACACGGGTGCTATAGGGGCAAAAGAATCATATCAGTGCCACAAGAATCAGTTGATCAACATGACATGGTAAAGTTAAAGAGCCTGATCTGTTCAGTCTGACCTTATGGCTGCGCTAAGCCCAAAAGGGATCATAAACGCTAAAGAGCCTGTGTTTAAGCTGCAGGAAATTGAAGAGTCACAACCAAGAAAGGGCAAATCAAATTGAAAGTGTCACATACAAAGTTAACTCACCAAATAGACAAAACTGATGTCTCAAGCTTTGGATTTGGGAGAAGTCCAGAAAGAAGTACCAGGAGCTCAAATGACCACCACTCCAAGCTGTGTGCATGTAGGATCCAGTTAAATTAGAGATGACACAAATCGAAAAATTCATCTGTGACTACGGGATTTGAAAACTCACCAAACCATCAGCGCAGATGGAACACCAAGCCTCAAGAAGCTGGGTATGTCATTAAAAGCCTCCTTTGAGAACCCTCTCCAGGTGTTTCTACAGGCTGGTGCAAGCCTGACGTAAATTGCCAGGATTGAGACATTGGTTAAGTATGAGATGGAATTGGCCAAGGCAGCACCCTTGTTGCCCATACCAATCTTGTACACCAGCAGCCAGCACACCAGCAGATGGTTCAGTGCTGTGGCACCTGAGCTCAGCATCACCGGGAGGACGATGTTCTGCGTTTGCAGGAACCGGACATGGCACTGTAGTGGACCATACACAAATAGCGCGGGAATCATCCACCGGATATAGCTCCCTGCCCCAGCTGCAATCTCTGGATCCTGACCAAAGAGTAGAAGGATCTGGCCAGTGTATGACCAGATAATTGCAACAACAAGGCTCACTAGAGTGAGCACAAGGATGGCCCTCTGCTTGTGGATGCCAAGAAGATAGTACTGCTTTGCCCCAAACGATTGCCCACACAGTGTGTCCAAGCTGCTCGCCATGCCAGACTGAAATGATGAAACAAACAGTTGACTCTGCTATTGAACTCCATATAATCGTTCAGGTCTAGCATATGAGAAATGTCTTGAGTTTGCGTTAACATACCAATAAGCTGAAGCCAGTAACGCCTGCAAAGGAGGTGGCGATGGAGGCACTAGAGAGGGCAAGCTCACCAAGGTGACCGACAAACATGACAGATATCATCTGGACAATGTTCTGTAGGATCCATGCGGCGATGAGTGGCCCAGCAAGGTACAGCTGTTTTCTGACCTCGGACACTACCAGGCTCTCTCTCACCCCGCTGGTCTTAAGAACACCATTGCCAAGAAGGGGTTCATCCATGCTTGGCATCATACACAAAACTTTACACCCTGCTTCTGAAGGAGTATGAAACAATGTGTCAAATCGATGAGATCAATCTTAAAAAGGCTGAACTGAGCAAGGAATGTGCAACAATGTATCAGTCAATGTGGTCAATCTTATAAAGGCTGGAAAGTCCAAAAGTCCTGAGGAAACCAGAAGAAAACAAAGGCAGTACCTTGGCAGCCAAGTTTGACACTGGCAAACAAGCAGGACAGAACAAATGTTTGACCTCATCTGATAGACTTATTGGAAGAAAAAAGATTAAAAAAATGTCGCCGAACAAATATGTAGTTTAATTTATAGGGACAACTAATGCAGCTCAAAAAAATTAGAATATAGCAGGCAAATGAATTTGGGAAACACTTTGGAGACTAAAGGAGCTTGGCACCCAAGTTAGCATATGAGAGAGCAGCCTATCCAATGGAGATATGTGAAAGTAACAGCTAAGCACAAAGAATGCATGTTCATTTAGGATGCAAAAGCCATTTTTTCTTCTGCAACTAACTAAATGATGATTGAAAGATACAAGCATACATGTGTAAAGAATCAAGTTCCAGGAATCCAGGTAACGAATAATCACAGATCTTTGCCTTTTTGTGGTTGGAACCGGGGGTGGGGGGTGGGGGAGGGGGTGTTATTCATTGGGATCAATATGGGAAAACCTCAGCTTTGGACTGTTCAAACTAATCTGAACCATTAGCAGGTGTAGGCTCTTATTAATCTGGTTCCAAGTGCAGATGTCCAAATTTCATGTTTGTTCCTATTCTCTCTTTCCTGTCTTTGACCTGTAATGTTATATGAGCCACTTCATATACAATATACAAAAGCACTTCCAAGGACACAGTGCCCTTGAAGAATGATTTAATAGGAATTGGATTAGGTAAATTAAAAAAATCAAAATGAATTAAGTGCAGAGGATTATCAAAACACAGCTCTTTCACAAACAGAGCAAAGAACTGTGATGTCTTCAATCTCAGGGCTACTACGGAGTATGGATACAGCAAAACTCCCATTCTGATAAAAATAAATACTCCCTCCGTTCCAAACTATAAATCATTTTAGCTTTTCTAGATACATCATTTTACTATATACCTAGATATATACTATGTCTAGATACAAAGTAAAACTATGAATCTAGAAAAACCCGAACAACTTACAATTTGGAACGGAGGGAGTAGTTGAGAGAATTTCATAATGTGTCCCCATCTTTACAAAATCAAGAAGAAACTTTATGCCATTATTTTGCACGGTACGTGTAAACATATAGCATTATAAAAACATTATTCAGCCATCATTTTTACTGTGACAGTAAAACTTAAGAAGTGTCCTCAAAACTTAGGTCACAAATTGAATTTAAGTGATATTAACGTCTGTCCAGATTTGAATATTGAAGTCAAGTGCACTGAGGAAAGAAGAAGCTAGCTTGGCAGTCAAGTTCAATTATCTCATAGAAGAACTCAATTAGGACAGAAATATCACTTTCAATGCAGTAGATCAATTTAGTGAGCAAAGAGATGTGCACTACAAGTCAAAAGTCGAAAAGGTTATCTAAAAAACAAATCTAAACCAATCTAGGAGTATGCTCCAAGATAATGAAATCAATCAGAACCATCCTAGTCCAGTGCACGCAGCGACAAATTCAGAGTCTGACGCCTCACGTGCTAGGAACCATATCTTTTCTGAAAGATACTCTGACCAATCTCGAGCTGCTCCATATATCAGCCCTTGATGAGTAAGCTTAGTAGACCACATCACGGAATGCCGCAAGATCCAATGCCACTATAAAAACGCATGAATCGAAACTAAGCACGGATTTGGTTGTGAGCTGCAAAAGTAAGCACATCGCACTAGAGACTAGTGAAAATCATTCCAATGCATCAATCTTCTACTGTTTCATTTATTTACACACAGCAGCGGTTCCTAATTCAGATGTGCTTACAGTATGAAGAAAGTCCCATTAGATGGTTAATTAATTAATCCAAAAAAAACGACAAATGAGTAAGGCCAATCTCCGCCGGCCCGGCAAGATTGAAAAAAGAAAGGAGTGCAAGAACCATACCGCAGGCACGGGGCGGCGTTGCGGCTAATTAGGACGCCATGGAGAGCGCGCACCGCTGTGGCCAGGACGAAGGCGGCTCGCGGCCGTGCCCGTCGAAGGAGGAGGAGGAGGAGAGCTGGAGCGGGGTGCGCCACGCGCGAAGCTGGGAACCGGGCAAGCGGCTACGGACTCCGGAGGAAACGGGTGGTCTTTACGAGGGGTTTGAGGCGGCGGCTTTTACGCCCACGACAACGAGGCTTGACGAAATAGATTTTTTTATTATTTGAACACTTTTTCAAAAATAATTTTAAATTTAACACTGTCGTTCTTTTTTTAAAACTAACACTTTTGGCCGCGCCTATTGCACTAGCGCAGCCAAATGTCTGTGTCGCGTCATGCATGGTGGCGCGACAGCGGGCTGACGTGGCGACGACCGGATTCGCTGACTGTTGACGTGGCAGGGTCTGCCGCGCCACCGATCTTGGCGTGGCAGTGCCACGCCCTGATCCGTGGCGCGGCAGAGCCGAATATAACCCCCGTGGTCAGTCCCGCCTGCCCGAGCAGCAAACCCCGCGCCTGGCCGCCGCGCCCGCGCCAGCCCGCCGCCCAGCACGCCGGCCCTGCGCGCCGCTGAGCACGTCGGTTGCCGCGCCACGAACGTCGGCACGGCACGGCCGCCGGCCGCCCGGTGCAGCCGCCGCGCCCGCACGTCGGCGCGCGACCCCCTCCGGCCACGCACGGCAGCTGCCCACCGAGGCCTGCGCCTGCGTCTCCCGGCCCGGTCTAGCGCGCCACTGCCGCAAGGCACTCCCCTAATGTAGTTAGTATAGTTAATAAAGTTAGTAAAATTAGTAAAGTATAGTTAGTATAGTTACTAAAGTTAGTTAGTTTAGTTAGTAAAGTTAGTTTAGTAAGTTAGTATAGATAGTAAAGTTATGTAGTTTAGTTAGTACAGTTACTGAGTCTAGTTATATATTGGATTTAATCTAATTAGTTATTGTTGTTAGCCTTGTATAGATGTTAATATTAGGTTATTTAGTATAGTTATAGTTAGAATATGTATTAATATTACTATGGACATTACGTATGACGATTTCGACGATTTGATGAAGTTTTTTGAAATGCTTTTGCAGATGGATTGTTGTGTTAGAGTTTTATACGGAGAAAGTGTTAGGAGAGAAGATGGTATGTTTGAGGATATAGAAGAAGAATTAGAATGGTTTGATGAACCTCCTAGCTTCAACGACCTTTGTGTCCGTTTGAATGTAAAGTTTGGCGGTGATTTCACACTGAATGGAAGGTTTAATACTGGGAAGACTAGGGCACACTATGTACTCATGCCCTTGCACGACCCTGCTCACTGGTCCCGCTACACTAGAGTTCTCCAAGGTTCCAATGTGTCCATGGCTGAGGTAGTGGTGGAGAATGGGTACATGATGCAGAGTGTTCAGGAAGGTCCGTCCATTAATGATTTTGGAGGCAATGAACAAGAAATAGGGGTCAAAGGGGAAGCAACTCAGGATAACATGAATTTGGACGGTCAGTTGACGCAGGAGTAGTTTTATTCAACTGCAGTAGGCTGTATAAGCAATGACTTCGATGTGAATGAGTTCGAATAGAAAGAGGAGGAGCAGGAGGAAGAGGACAGGATCGGTGATGTAGTTAGCAGTGATTCAGACGATTCTAATAATGACCAAGGAGGTATAGATGCTATGCCAACACCGGCTAATGCCATGCCAGTATCGGTTCATACTATGCCATTATCAGTACCAACCGAGGTTTTGTATGGTGTCCAGGCTTAGGGTAGACTAGTCACAGATTTGGCTGCAAATGATACCCCCTATGATTCATGGGCCAGAATTAACGAAGTGCAGCAGCATGTTCCACCACCACCTTACACAACGATTGAGCTTGAGCAACTAAGGTCCAAGAACGTACAAGTGCTTGGCCCAACTCGCACTATATGTTTGATCTCGGACCATCACGCAAGGCTTCTTAATGATGCAGCTGAGCATATAGATGGATTCCCGCCTCTAGTATATAGATGGTGCATGAGACACTTTGCCTCTAATTTCTGACGACGTCAGCAGAAGCAGGAGGTATGTGACAAGGTAAAGGCTCTATGTTGTGTACGTACAGAGCACCAGTTCAAGGAGATAAAGAGAGAACTAGACAAGATGGTAAATGCAGCAGAAAAGGCCTGGTTAGAGGCGTAGATGGAACAGAAGGCTCAGTGGGCTTTAGCATATGACGAGGGGGGTTTCAGGTATGTCATCATGACCACTAACTCCTCGGAGTCCTTCAACCGTGTATTCACCGGAGTTTGATCGTTGCCTGTGTCTGAAATTGTTGAGTTCTCCTTTCATAAGTGCAACGAATATTTTGTGAAGAGGTGGGAACTTGCACAGAGAAATATAGCTGAGCAGGGGCATTTTGGAAAGGCCGGAGCTGAACATTTGAAGGAGGCCGAGGAATTGGCCAAGCAGCACACCGCCGAGCCGTATGGACCCCGCCGCCATATCTTTAGTGTACGGGGCAAGGGTGGCACAAGCTTGGGCGGCGAATGTTATGGCGGACGAAACTACCGAGTTGATCTTAAAAAGGTAGAGTGCAGTTACAATGTCCCTCAGATCATGCATGCCCCTTTCTCCCATATGATCATGACCTGCAGGGTTCGTGGGTACAACTATGAGGATCTACCTTATATGTCACCCTTGTATCTCTGTTCGAACACCGTTAGTATTTGGGAGATGAGCTTCAAGCCATACCTTGACCCGACACAGTTGTCACCTTATAATGGTTATGACTACATGCCGCATCCGGATCTAATGAAGGTAGAGAAGGGTAGGAGGAAGAAGAAGCGACTCAAGGGAATATGGACGCTATGAGAGGGTACGACGAAGACATGTACGGCGGGGGAGACTTCAACAAGACCATGGCAGGAATCTTT